GCTTGGCATTGCGTAGCTTTCTTAGGGGCGTCGGGGAAGGGGTCACGGGGCCTTCTGGGATGCTCGCCATAGCGAGCGGGCGGACCACGGAAACATCAGCGTGGGGGGTCCTGGGTGTGGGACGCGTCGGCGGCAGCCTTCCGTATGCGATTTCAAATGGGGTATTGCTAAGCAGCAATTGTCGCAGTCGTTCCAACCGAGGCAGAACCAGGACAAATTTGCGAGGGATGTGAACGCCGTCGAGGACCGGCCGTTGGATATGCTTCCAACCATTCCTGCGTCGAGTTCGCAGCTTGATGTACCGGACACGAGGATGTGCCAGCGGAGTCTCATTCGCAAAAGATCCTATATTGTACCCGGTTCTTGCTTGTTTGCGGCTGTGGAGAAGCCAACGAATAGCCGCGGCTTGGAGCATCATGTGTATATCCATGTTCTCAGATGTGAGCACGGCGGCGAATGACGCATCTCGAAGGCTCTGGGCCGACAGGTAAGACGAAAGGTGCTGTCGGAACCTCTCCACCAAACGTGGAAGTTTCACCTGGCGCGGTTGCGTCTGCACATAAGCGTATGCTATCAAGAACATGGCGAAAAAAGACCCGTGGTTGAGCCATACCTTACAAACGAACATGTTGAGCAGAACTTGCGCGTGAGACGACGCCGCGCCAGTGACGATGTCCAGGAACATGTTGGTATAGTCGAAGCCTGATGCATAATTGTTGAACCCGTAATTCTTGATGTCCAGAAGGCCTTTGGTGCTTCGGCGCACGAACTCAGATGGCGACTCGAAAGTGTGGCCTCGGCCTCGCACCCGAGGGCGTGGACCCGACTGTGGCCCGCATGGGGCGGTAAGAGCATTCATGGGCCGGCTGCAGGTTTGTAGCACGCAGCAGAAAGGAAATTCGTGAAACCCGTGGATGTCGCACCAAAGTTGCACCAGCTTTACCCATCGCATATGGTCTAAACAACTGAACAGAGGTTGTGAGACGGGGACTTCGCCACAGGAGCGCTGATAAAACTTAGCGTCCGACGGGGTTGCTGAGAAGGTTCGGGCAACAGTGCATGCGGAAGAAGCCACAGGCACCCCGTCTCCAAACACGGACGCGTCTGACTCCGAGTCGGAGTCCGAAGAGGAACGTGCCGCCCAGCACGATGTGAAACAAAGAATGCAGAATGCCAGAAGTTGGAGGCACCGTGAGGCGCGCATTGAGCACGAGCGGGGACGAACAGACTAGCAATCCGCGCCGGAGCCTGAGCAAAAATGGCTACGGAGAATCATGAGGGGGGAATGGGCACAGGCGTCTGGTGGACACACCGCGACGATGTTCATTGTTACATGTTCGTCCTTTGGTGGCTGATGTTGGGCTCGGGGCTGTCAAATACCGACTCCAGATGGGCCGACGGTCGTAAGGCAGGGGAAGGCAAGTAATTAGCCCGGAAGCTGTCCAGAGAATGGGCCTTCGAACAAAGGGGTTGCACTCGTCGGCGCTGGCAGGGACCGACGCACGTGTCAGCGATGGGGGCTTCGAACAAACAGGTTGCACTCGTCGGCGCAGGCAGAGATCCACGCGCGTGTGAAAACATAATCTTTGAACGTGTATGTTTCGTTGTTGCGCGTTGTTCGTATTAAGGCGTCCGTAGGGACGTTGCGGGTGTCGTTTCGGGCGTCGAGGTCGGGGCGACCTGTCGTTTCGAGCGTCTCTCCCGATGATGATCCGAATGGCCCCGCAGGGGCCCCCGATGCGCGGTGTAGAGGTTAGAAGAGGTCTCGAAGACAGACTCGAGAAGCTCCCCAGAGGCACGGGAGGCTCTCAGAGGCCGCAACGAAGCTCCGAGATGCCTCCAAGAGCCCTTCTGAGGCACCCCAACAGACCGCCATGTTCATTGAGAAGGTCCTGACCAACAGCCTAGGCACGGTGGCGCGGGGGTGGCCGAGCGCCACCAGATAATTTCAACCATCGTCGCAAGGTCTTAATCCTTCTGGAGGTCGGCGGGGCGTAAGCCAAATCGTATAATCTTCCCGGAAGCTGTCCCCGCGAATGCCGATTGACGTGTGTATGTGTGCATGCACGTGTGGTGCAGGCATCTGTGTGCGTGGACGTTGAGAGAGATATGCAGACAGACTGGTGAGCAGGGAAGGGTCCGAAGAGGCTTCCGAGACGGCCCCAGCGAGCCCTGAAGGCCCCGGAGCCTCCAAGAGGGCGCAAGACACTTGCCAGATGGCCCCGAGAGCTCTCCAGGAGGGCCGCCGAGGTATCCCAAGAGACCCTGATATTAATTCAAGAGGTTCCTGACCGACAGCCCAGGCACGGTGGCAAGGGTTTCGCCGAAGGCCACCGGGTAAGTTCTGCGGCGTAGCAAGGGCTCACTCTTCGGGGTGTCAGCGGAATGGCGTAAGCCAGTGGGTATAATCTCCCTGGAAGCTGTCCCTGGAAGTCTGGCTGATGAATACATGTGTGCATGCATGTTTGTAGCATCGAACTGCGTGGTGGACGTAGCGACGGTATGTCCCAGAGACCCCTCGGAGGTATCTCAACAGACCCTCATGTTCATCAGAAAGGTCTTGACCATGAGGCCAGCGACGCTCGTGCGGGTTTGGCCGAGTGCCACCATATGATTTCCATCATCGTCGCAAGTCCTGAAATCCTTCTGAAGGTCGGCGGAACGACGGAAGCCAAATAGTATAATCTCCCCGGAAGCTGTCGCCGCAAATGGCGGCTGATGTGCTCATATATGCATGCAGGTGTGGTGCATGGATCTGGGTGCGTGGACGTTGCGAGGGATACGCACACAGACTGGTGAGCAAGGAGGGATTCAAAAGGCCTCCAAAACGGCCGAAGAGCCCCGAGAAGGCCCCAGAACCTCGAAGAGGACGCAAGACACTTGCCAGATGGCCCCAGGAGCTGTTCAGGAGCACCCTCCGGGGCACCTCAAGAGACCCTCATATGAAGTGAAGAGTTCCCGACCGATAGCCCAGGCACGGTGGCAAGGGTGAGGTTGAAGGCTATCAGGGAATTCCACGGCCGTCGCAAGGTTCCACTCCTTCTGGGTGTCAGCGGAATGGCGTAAGCCAACTGGTATAATCTCCCCGGAAGCTGTCCCTGGAAATCTGGCTGGTGAATGTATGTGTGTCCCCGCCGCCGAAGGCGAGGAGCAGATGACGGAGAGGCCCCAAAGCACGCGATGGGTTCCACGATGCCGAACGGGCACGTTAAATACCACACACGCACTGTTTGATCCAGCCTTGGCCGATCCCGTTCGCTGGAAGCCGCGTGGCGGGTCACCGTTGCAGGCAAGCACCGCGGGAAGGGGGGGGAAGTGGAGGGGGGGGAGGAGGAGGAGGAGAAGGAATCGTGACCAGCGTATTCTATGTGGGTGCGGGGGTTGGGGGGGTGACGGGGGCTTTCTAGTATTGTCTCTTGGGGCTTTCGCGGGCTTGGGGGCATTTGCGGGCCGCTGGGAGCCTCATGGTGTTTCGTGGGGACCCATCGGGGTGCCGGGGTGCTCGGGGATTGGTGGCGTGCGTTGGGGGCCGGTTGGGGTCTCCTAGGAGTTTGGGGAGGTTCGCGGGGGCCCTGGAGAAACGACGCGTCGAAGACGGAGGGGGGGGGAAGGTTGCGGGGGCGACGGCGGAAGGGAGAATGACAGGAGAGATGGGGAGGGAGAAGACGATGACGAGGACGAGGACGAGAAATCTGCGTTTGTGGGCTGCGCGCGGGGTGAGACGAGTCGAAACACGAGGGCCTCTGGTCCTCTGGTCAGCGGGAGGACGCAGGCCTCTTCATGGCTGGGCGAGGTCGCCTGGAACTCTTCGTGGGTACGGCCAACAACAGCTCAGGCCAAACAATGTTCTTCACGATGGCCCAGCCGTCTGTGTCCACGTGGTCGGGCGAAGCGAGCGCACGAATATCAGAGCGGTGCCGCGCCCGGGTGAGGGCGGCATACAGGTGGCCGTGGCTGAACGGGTTGTGGCGCACGTCCAGCACCATGCTGGATAGGGTACGTCCTTGTGCAGAGTTGTAGGTGGATGCATAAGCTGGTCGTAAAGGGTACTGTCGACGAGCCATCGTGGAAGTGCCGTTGACGATCTGCCATCGAAACGTGATCCGTGGGAGGGGGAATGCCCGACCGTCGAGGGTCTCTATCAGCACGTGGTGAGTGTGGACTTTGCGAAGTATCACGGGGACCCTGTTCATGAGGCGGTCTTTTGGGTTGAAGTTCCGCATCAGTTCGTAGAGGGCCCCTTCCACGAGGTGCAGACAGTGGGGGGGAGCGCCGGGGGAGGTCTGGAGGTTGAGGAATTCGGCGGTGATGTGTTGTTCAACTGCTCCCGCGGCATCGATGTCGAGCGTGTCCGCGCTGAGGGCACGATGCGAAGGGCACTGGTAGGTGCGCGCCAGCAGGTTCAGCATGCGTTCGTTGTAGGCGTCCACGAGAGAATTGAGGACGGCGAGAACTTTGGATTCGGCGCACTGGTGCGGGTCATTCGGCGCGGGGAAGCAGTACTTGAGGGCGTCGTCTTCGGATGGGGCGGTGGCGATGTCGTGCAGCTTGAAGTTGCCAGGGCTGCCTGTGGTTGGTTATCGTCGGCGCGTCACCGGGGCCGATGGTGTCCAGCCATGCTGCGAAATGCCGATCGTCTGCCTGGCGGTGCACTCGGTCCAACGTGAAAATGGCGAACTGGGGCCATGAAGCTGAGGAGCGGACGCTGCTGGAGACGATGGATTGCCGAGTCCCTTTGGGGACGACTGGTGGGATTTGCTTGCAGTCCCCGTATCCGACGAAGGTCTTCGGGACGTATGTGTCCGGGTAACGATCGGCGAGTGCGCGCAGCAATGCAATAACGGCGTCCTACGCTGCTTTTCTTGCAGAAGGGAATTCATCCCACTGGATCAAAGTGGCCTTGCATATTGTAATGGCTTGGGCCGACGTCATTGATAAAGAGCACGTGAATTCGGCGTCGTCGTGCGCTGGAATGGCGAAGGCGGAATGTGCCGTGGTGCCGTGAGGCTGCAAGAGGGCGGCCTGCCCCGTGGTAGCCACGTTGAGTACCTGGTGCCCATCGGCTTCGAGAGCTTGCGTGAGGCAGGTAGCCAACGTAGTCTTCCCTGTGCCCGCGCGGCCTTCCACAAACACGAAGGCTTCGCGACGCCGGTGGCAGCAAGTGAGAATGTGGTCGTAAGCTGTGCGTTGCCCGGGGCATTGGCGAATGCGGGCGAGCAGAGCGGTCGTCGGGGTGGGGGTAGGCGTTGTAGTATCTGAGGGGGGCCCTGCGGTAGCGTCGGCGGGAGCCCCGTCAGTGATCTCGCCCAGCTTCCAATTTTCGTCGCTGTTGCCGTTCTGCAGCCAGGTGGCTCGCAGCAGGGCCAGGGGATTTTTCTGGGCGGCGCGGACGCCGAGACCTCGGTCCAGGAAGTCCTTCATACGCGGTCGTTCGTACTTGCGGTAGAGAGACACGGGGGCGGCATCTTGTTCGAGTAGAACCAGGAACGCGAAGCGAGGTTGGGCTGCAGTGTACCGGAGCGCAATGAGCTCGTCGAGCACGGCGTGGGCTTCGTCGTCGCGGACGAATTGGCCCGTGGCCCGTAGCGTCTCCTCGTAAGTAGGATACACCTTGCCGTTGTGCGTCCTGCAATCGGCAAAGGACGCCTTGGGGAAGTTCAGCAGGATGTGTCGGAGGTAGAAGACGTCGCCTTGCTTCGGGAACTTCATCTCGAGGCGGCACAACGGGGGCTCGCCACGCAGCCTCGGGTACACGAAGAACTGTTTTGGCGGAGGGGCGCGGTCCAACACGGCAGCGGCCTGCGATGGGCACGATGGGGACGTCATGTAGGTTTCAAAGTACTCGTGGTAGGCCAATGCGTCGAACGGTGGACCCGCGGGTCGGTAGAAGTACCGTTGAAGTGGTGACACGTGGGCTTCAAGCGCATTGGCCTCCTCTCCTTCCGCGAAAACAATCCATTGTTGTCCGGGCAGGTGCACGGGCAAGCAGACGACGTGCGGCCATCTGTCGTAGGTGTTGTATCCGAACATGCGCCATGCTGCCTCCGTTGCGCACAGATATCTGCTTTTGAGCCACTCGGAAATCTCGTCGGCAACCTTCGCATCTAGCGTGACGTCGTAGTTCGTCTTGGAAGGGCCTTTGAACAAATATTTGTATAGGTATTCGAAGAGTTCCACCGTCGCTGCGTACTTGACGTTGGCGTGCCCCTCCCAGAGTTGAAGCACCACGGGGCTGTATTCGACGATGAGCCGATTGAGGCAGACGTCGTGTTTCCCGTACATGGCCTGGCCAGATCGGCAATTCGGGCAGTGGCCGCCGCATGGTCGCCGCCGGTGGTGGGGGTAGCCGCGCGCGTCGAAGACCCTGTCGTCCGGAAACGGCCAGGGGCATCCTTTCACGCAGTCTTGAGCGGGGTCTTGAGGGTGGCAAGAATGGTTGCAGCTGTGGACCATGTGGCGAAGGACGAGTTCGCGGAGTCGTCCGTCTTCGCGGGGTAGCTCGCAGGAGATGAGAAGGTCGACCTCGTCCGGAGTGGCGGGCGGGTTGAGGACAGCCAGAGCGATGTGCGCATGTGGAAGGCCGCGGAGCTGGTACTCGATCACTTTGATGAGGTAACGGCGAGCCCCGCAGAAAGAATCCTTCAAGAAAGCGACGATCTTCTGCAGCCGGTCGTGAAAGACGCGGACGACGATGTCGGGTCTGTCGGCGGCGGTTTGTCCGCGGTGCAGTTGACCCACAATCTCTGGCCAGTAGGGGTTGCAAGTCAACGTGATGAAGAACGACGGCGGGCCTTTGCGTCGCGCCAGCTCCAGGGCGTCAGCGCGCAGTCGGCGAAGATGGCGAGGTGATCCTGGGACGCTCGATGGCAGAACGTACTGTTTGCCAACCGTTCCGGCCTTGGCGGGGTCGTTGGCGAGCACCTCGCAGAGCTCCTGGCGAGTGGCGCTACGCTGTCGTTGTTGATGACGGATGTGGGAGAACCTCTCGTCTTCCATGCGCGTGAACATGTTGATGAGCCACTCGTTGAGCAGCCGTCCGCAAAGGTGCATGTGGGGGAGTCGGAGCAATTGTTGGCGATGCCACCACATTTGTGTTACCTTGTGGCCGGTGGCGCTGATGACGTCTGTGCTCCAGCCGCGGCCGCCTAACGGGTACCACAGGGGGTAACTCAAGGGTTCGTGAAACGGGCTCAGCGGGTGCAAGTAGGACGGCGTGTCGTGGAGCTTGTATGTGAAGACGATGGACCTTTTGTTGCGGTCAGGGGTGGGGTCGACGTCCAGTATTCCAGCCACTTCGTTGACTCCTTCGTGCCACTCCAAGATGATATTCGCGTCTGCTGCTTGTTTGGACTGGCGGGCCAAACGCTGAATCATACGCATGTGGGCATTTCTCGGCACTATGAGCTGTTCGAGTTGTTTGGTGGTCTGCTTGTTGAGGCCGTGCGCCGCGGCGGTGACGAAGCGGTCTTACGGATCGTGCACCAGGTATCGCAGAGGGACCTGGTCAGCCATAGAGAATGCGCGTCGGTAAATCGTCCCATGGATACGGATGTTTGCTGGCCGGCGGGCGTCTCCGAATCGAAGCTCTTTGTCTCCAGTGCTGCGCTGGATTTCGTGTTGTGCGAGGGCGAAGAGGCTGTTGTACCGCCTGGGCTGCGCCGTGAAGCCAGTGCACCGAAGCTCGTTGGTGGTGGTGTCGTGCATCTTGTCTCCGCGGTCGTCTGTGAGCGGCCAGTGGGAGGCGAAGATGTCGCAGAGGGGTTTGTCGGGGCATTGGAAATAGGTGTCAAAGTTGACGAAGTACTTCCCGGCATTACAACAGAACGTTTTTGACTCCGAGTTGAACAAAAGTGCGCCGCAGTGGTCGCATTGGGTGGACATGTCCCCCAAAGAAATGGAGGCGAGGGTCGACGGTGGGCGGCCGCCGTCGGGGGCGGGCGCGGCACAGTTGAAGCAAACTGGGCCAACCCGCTTCGGGGCCCGCCGTGGAAACATGTCGGTGGGCCAGCAGACGCCGCACCTGGAGCAGACGATGTCGGTATGCTGTCTAAGTGCCCCGCTACGCTGAAGCGCGGCTCTTGTGCAGGTCAAACATTTGCGGGCACTTCGTCGCCACTGGTCCGGCGCGTACTCAGCCTGCGCGAGCTCTGTCCCGCAGCTGGCGCAGGGTCGCAGAAGTACAGGGGCATTAGCGGTGGAGCAGCACTCCTTGCATCGGGCTGTCCGAGATGAAGAGTGCAACTGCGTGGCCGAAAAGGCAGACGTGTCCAAGCATCGATGGCATTGCGTGCAAGTCAAGGTTGAGCGCTTCGGTGGCATTTGACGGCCGTCACGCGATAAGGCTTGAGCCTGCAGCAGCGGCCGGCATGGCAGGAGGGACCATGGAGAGCGCGGGGGAGCGGCGTGGGGAGGTGGGAGGGAATGGGCAGGGGTGGTAAGAAGGGAAAGAGGAGAGCCGGTAGGCTCTGAAGACGGTCTCGGAAGGATACGGACCACCATTTGAGTATGAAGGCTAGATGAACATGTTGGGGCGCTTGTGGTATTTTGGAGGTGGAAGTCCGTCTGGGATTCGCGGTGCGAGGTAGCGTTCGGGAGAGGCGGTTAGGAAGAGCAGGAAGGAGAGCTGGTAGGCTTTTGTGGGAGTTCGGGGGTGGTTCGGAGTGGCACTGGGGCCTCTTGCAATATGTAGGGGGGCTTTGGGGGCCTTTACGGGGCTTCGGGGCGTTCCAGGGGACCTCTTGGGGCCTCTTGGGAGCCTTTTGGGGGCCTCTTGGGGGCTTTGGGGGGTATTTGCAGAGCCTTCTGGAATCCTTGCAGGTGTTCTTGGGGGCCTTTGGGGGCTTCTTGGGGCCTGTTGGGGACCTTTTGGGCCTCTTTGGGGGCTTCTTGGATGCCGCATTGAGGCCGCGGAGGCTGATAAGAGGCGATCAAGTTAGAAGGCGGAAATTATCAATTTCCTATAGGTTCTTGATCGATCTCAGCCTCTCGGGGGGCTGTTCGGGGGGCGCTTGAAGCCCTTGTGGGCTCGTTGGCTGCCCATGGGGCCGTCTTGAGGTTATCTTGAGCCGTCTTGGAGCGTTTTTGGGCCGTCTCGGCAATTGCTCGAAGCCATCAAGGGGGTCTGGGGGGCCGAAGTCGAGGTCCGGGAGGCCCCCGTGGCGGTCCAGGAGTCTCCAGTGGGCCGCCAAATCCTATTGGGGGTGGGTGGGACCCTTCGGTGTCAGTTTCCTGGTGTGAGATTATTAAGATAGGAATATTTGGTTGGTGGGCGTGCTTGTAACTAGGTTTATGCCAAATTTTAAGTCGACTGCTCGGGCGGAGACCCGGCATCCTGCAGCTCTTTGTTGCTCAAGAAAGAGCGGCCCCTCAACCCCTCTCTTCGCGTCGGGGGTAGGGGGGCGCGCGCAAAGGGCTTCGGGTGGGCGAACGCGATGTAATTTGTAATGGGCTGTGGGTTCGGGAACGCGAGCTTTTTCCAGCACTACAAGCGTGTGTGGCTTCGGGGGCGCGAGCGTGTCGTAATGTATGGGGGACTCTGGTCTCGCGGGCGGGTTCGCGTCGTACATTAGGAGGGCTTCTGGTTTCGGGAACGCGAATATGTTGTATTCTGGGGTGTCCTGTGCGCAGTGGGGCGGGTTTCGGCCTGGCGTCCTCGTGTGTTCTGCCACGAGGCAAAGCTGCTTGAGCCAGACAGCCTGCAGTTCGAACGCTGGAAACGTTCACGCCAGAACTTGTGCAGGGAAGAGGGATGCCACACAGCTTGTTGGCCCCAAGGGGCCCGGGGATTCGACCTCCTCTGTTTTCTCCTCCTCCTCCTTCTCCTTCCCCTCCTCCTCGTCCTCGTCCTCCTTTTCCTCGTCCTTCTTTTCCTTTCCTTCTTGTGCTCGCCCCCCCCCAGAAAAGGGCGCGAATCTCTTCGCCACCGTGCTTGAGGCTGCCCTTCAGGATGACGCCGTGGACCCTGGCAAGTCGTGGTTGGCGATGCGCAATCCGCAGGATTTCTTTGGCAAAACGGAGGGAAGCGACGAAACGACGAGTGCAAGCATGTCAGTCGGAGAACGGTGCGGAAAACGAGGTCAATGATGAGGGGGAGAAGGAAAAGGAAAAGGAAAAGGAACAGGAGGAGGAGGAGGAGGAGGAGGAGGAGGAGGAGGAGGAGGAAAATGAGGAGGATAATGAGGAGGAGGAGGAGGAGGAAGAGGAGGAGGAGGAGAAGGAGGAGGAGGAGGAGGAGGTGGAGGTGGAGGAAACGTAACAGACGCAGGATGCAGAGGAGCAGTCGGAGTAGTGGGGAGAGGGTGATGATGAACAGCTGGAGGTGGAAGGGGGCGTGGAAGATAAGGACGAGACAGGATTCTGTGCCTCCGTCCATTTTTTTTTCTTCTCTCTCTCTCTCTTTCTTTCTCCTTCTCGTCCCGCCCCCCCTTTCCTCCAACAGTTCTCGTCTTTCTCTCTCCCTCCTTACCCTTCTTTCCGCCTCACTCGCCGCACATGCCCGTACGCACACACACTCTCTTTCTCTTTACCGCTCTCTCTCCAAACCCGCTTTACATCTCCCCCATCCCCTCCTCGTCCCCACTGTCCTCCCCATGTCCCCGCTTCCCCCTCTTCCCCTTTCCTCTCCGCTTGTGTGTTCTCTTTTTCGCCCATCCCTATTTCGCCCCGCTCCATTCTACTCTTCCCTCGCTTCTCCCCCTCTCCCTTTCTTC